AAACCCTAAACCCTAAATCCCCCTTTTCTGGGGGACAGGCGGAGGCTGACTTGGCCGCGTGCGAAGCGGCCGACGCCTTTCAGCAGCAGCAGCAGATCGCCTCAGAGCGCTCGGAGGTCGAACCGGGGGGGGGGGGGGGGGGTTCCTAAACCCTAAAAAAGGTTTAGGGTTTAGGGTTTTAGGGTTTAGGGTTTAGGGTTCAGGGTTTAGGGTGTTAGGGTTTAGGGTTTTAGGGTTTAGGGTTTAGGGTTTACTTAAAAGGATCATGGGGCTTAGAAAGTAAGGTACTTTAGGGTCCAGGCAGGGTTTTGGGGTTTAGGGTTTCTCCAAGTCTTACTTAAAGGATCATGAGACTTAGTAAGTAGGGTTAAAATTGAGGTAGCTGTACTTAGAAGTAATGACAACCCCCAAATAAGGTAGTTATATCTCTACTTACTAAGTCCCAGGATCCTCCAAGCAAACCCTAAAAACCCTAAAAACCCTAAACCCTGAACCCTGAGCCGGGTTCAGGATTTAGGGTGTAGGGTTTAGGGGTTCGAGTTTAGGGCTTCTTTAAGGGGGTCACGATGAGTTTGGGGGGTCGGGTCTCCTTTGAAGCTCTTGGTACAGGGTTTAGGGTTTAGGGTTTAGGGTTTAGGGTTTAGGGTTTAGGGTCACGATGAGTTTGGGGGTTTTGCGTTCCTTTTGAGGGTTTAGTTTAGGGTCTAGGATTCGTGTTGAAGGGTTTAGGGTCTAGGGTTCCTTTACGGGCTTTCGGGTTGCGGTATACTTTAAAGGGTTTCAGGTTCAGGGATAAATAAATAAATATAAATATAAATATAAATATAAATATATATATATATATTTTTTTTCACTTTCACTTTCAGTGGCACGAAGTCCGATTCGGACGTAGCCTAGACATGCAGTAATTAAAGGGTGAAACGAGCAGCAAAAGCCCCCGGGTCGGCGAAGTTGGAAAGCACCTCATAGTCGCCTGACTGTACACAAAACGGAGCAACCCTCCTGACAGCTGCAAGTCCAGGACAGTCAGAAGGGGCGGCGACGAGGAATGCTGGAACTTCATTTAGCCAGAGATGGAGGACTCCACGCACAAGGTCAGCGAAAAGGCGAAGGCAATGGAGACTCCGTTCAAGTGACTTGAAGTGACGAACGGGGGACGGAAGAGCAATGGTCGAAAGCAGCCCAGCAAGGCAAAACCCACAGACCCAATCAGAACGAAAACGGATCCAGTCACCGAAGTTGAGAAGCAAGGGCAGCCGGGAACACTGCTCGTGGCAAAGCCATACAACAGACTGGGCAAGTCGTTTACCAAGGAGCCGACGAGTACCAGAAATGACCCGAAGGCGAAGACCTTCGTGCAGTCCGACGGGAGAGACGCACAAGGCCTGAAACGACAGCCAAGGTAAAAGCACGGTGCCATCACGGAAGGTGGCATGCGCTTTAGTTGTGTCTGTTGCACAAGGAACAAGCCATTCGACAAAGTCAACGTCACAGATCCAATCGGCAATCCGACGGTGCCAGGTGGACCAATTGATCGAGACATCCTCATTGTCCTGAAGCTCAGAAGTGAGTCGGCAACGCCACTCACGAGCGGTGGCTTTGAGTCGGGAGACCTGCAGGCACACTCCAGCAAAGACGGCTCTGACAGCCTGTAACAGGGCATCGTAAGAATAACCCTGATCCTCGCAACAGAAGAGGTCCTCTAGGGAGCACAAAACACTGTCATCGGCCCTGTCAACTTCAGGGGTGAAATCCACAGGAACCTGGGGCAGCACGGGTCCGCTGGCAGTGACAGCCGGGAGCATAATGTCCTTGCCCGAGCGGAACTTCCTACTACCTCGTCCAGGTATTGGTGCCTCAACCTGTGCGACAGACGAAAGTTGTGCCAGACATTGTTGGGAGTATTCAAGGTGATTGCTCAGATGAAACATGGATGCAAAATGCTTAAGGCAAATTTGGCACTGCGTGCCTTGTGCATACAGTCGTGCCTCCCTCACACGACCGTGGCGCTTAAAGGCATGATGGCTCCAGCAACGCAGGTTCGGAAACCTTTGCTGGCAAACAGCACAGACCTCACCTGTGGCCTCGGGAGCATGTACCTCCTCTCCAACCTGTGCCCCATGTGAGAGAAAGTAACGTAAGAGCAGCCCATGGTAGTGATGCACCTCAGACTCCCAGAGCTCAGCAAGCAGTGCTGTCTGTTGTGCTTTGCGGAGCCACCTTCGCCAGAGCGCAGGCGACGTGACGATAACATCACGCGCAGAAGACCACTCCGAAAGTCGCACCTGCGGGGTGCCGGCAAGTGCAAGGCAACGAGAAAACCAAGACAGCGACTCAAGCGCAAGACCGCACCAAGTAGAGTCATGGTGCAAGATAGCCCAGAATTCAGCGGGCGCGACTCGGGTGACAACAGCCAGATGTCGCAAGCGCTCGACGTGCAGAAGAATTTGCAGAAGGAACTCTGGCAACAGCAAGAACCTGGCCAGCACCGGTGGCAAGAAGCCTCAAAGTTGTACGATGGGCGCAACATTTGTCGTGCCATGGCAAGCAAGACCCCCTGAATGCGCTGCTCAATAGTGTCGTCCTGGTAGGACCAGGTGCCAGCACCATAAAGCAACCGCGAAAGCACTAGTGACTGAAAGAGCAAAGCCTTCTCCCTGTGCGTTACAGAGGGCGAATTGAAAATCAGCCGCCTGTGCTTACGAAAAGCCTGCCATGCCTGAGCGGAGCGAACTTTAAGCTCAGGGTCAAGTGATCCTGACCAGCGCAGCAAACCTCCTAAATGCTTATACTTAGGGGTCACTCTGAGGCGCGCTCCGGGCCACAGAGTAGAAGAGAGCTCAACAGTAGGCACATCGACCCGAAAGAGCTCAGACCGGAGACGCCGGGAGCCCTTACCAACAAGGGTAAGTAGGGCTTCTGACTTGGTTGGGGTGAAGCAATGCCTTGAGGCACTCATCTATGAGAGCTGTTGCAGCACCCTTGGTGGCAGCAAGTGCGCCCTCAGGGGTGGACGAAGAGAGAAGGATGACTAGGTCGTCCATCCATGCTACGTCGATGGGCGCAAGAGTGCCGTCAGAGCAGCCAAGCTTCGAGAGCTGACGGAACCAAGAGGCAGCCCAGGGGAGAACAACCTCATATCCTGCGGCGAAAATAGCCTGCCTAACCTTTTGAAGGACTGAGGAGAAAAGGAAGGCAAATACTACATCGGCGAGCGCGTCGCCGGGCCGTGTCCCGGATTCGACAACGGCCAAGCCCTCACCGATCGTTAGCCACGAGTCAGTCTGAAATTCCTTAACGACGGCTGCGGCCCAATCAGAGGCGCCAGCTGAAACAAGCAAAGACTCAGCCTGGACATAATCACGCAGCCGATGAAGGTGGTCATGAGGTAGACCAAAGGAACTGATGACACTGGCAAGGTGCTCATCGCTAAGATCACCACCGTGGACCAGAGGACGAGCGACTCGGTGGAAAGCCTCACGCAAGTCCAGGAACACCAAGGCGGTGCTCCTGCCGCGCTTAAGATGGCCAGCCTGAAAATCCCGTGCTGCCTGTGCAGCAAGCTGAACCGGGAAGCCCCGTCGGCCACCAACCTGAAGGGGGGAAGCCGCGGAGTCAAGCCACTTACGGCGAAAAGCAGCGTGAATGCTCTTGCCGATAGTACTCGAAATGAGAATGCCCCTGTATCTGGCGCACTCGGCAAGATCGCCTTTCTGCTTGTAAATCTGGCGCACAGTGCCTCCCTTGAATTGAATCGGCTCTTGTAGGCGAAACGCGATTTTGAGAAGGATCGGGTAGATCGCATCAGAGAGCTGACTGGCGCAAAAGTGCAGGACATCTGGAGGCATCCCGTCGTTGCCGGCAGCTCGGCCAGGCTTCGACGCCCGCAGGGCCCTCTCGAGCTCACATCTGGTGGGGAGGTCACGTCGGCAAACGTCGAGCATGTCGAGATCCTGCCCAACGTGCCTGGCAAGACACCTGTCAACGAGCGTCTCCGGGGAAATAGGCCCGCCTTGTTCAACAGAGCTGAAGTGCCTGAGCCATCTGGCTTCAGCCTCAGCAGGAGTGGAAGCGAGCGAACCATCCTCGAGTCGGAGAGCGGGGAGAGGAGTGACACCCCTCTGTTTACGCCTAGGAGGCCCAAGGAGAGGCCTCAGCCGTTGAACAACCTCACGTGTAGAGGAAGTAGCTGCGACAGCCGCAACTGTAGAGATATAACTCTGTTTATCGCTGTGCAGAGAACGTCGGAAGAAAGGCCGTATCCTGCGAAGTTCAGCAACAGCGCTACGGAGGGTGCAAATATTACGCAAGGTATCAGCAAGCCCTGCTATACCAGCCCTACTAAGAGTGCATCTCCATAGCAGGGCATTGAAGGCACGCCGAAGATCCCAGGAATTGAGGTCACCACTGGCAAGATGCGCCCTGCGTCGCAACCACACTCTTTGTTGCCTAAGGGCCCATGTTGTCTCAGAGAAAAACGTTCGGCGTCTGTGTGAACGCTGGACTGGCAATTTCTTGGCGAGGGAACTGAGCACATGCTTGGCAACGATGTGGTAGTGTTCATGAACCCCAACGGACCAAGAAACCTGGGGGATACTGGCACAGATAGCCCGCACATCAGCAAGTGATTCAGGCTGGGATGCCCTGGCAACATCAAAAGTGCGCCGTGGCGGCGTAAAGGTCAAGCGTTCAAGCAGCTCAACCTGGACAAGCAGCTGCACAGCGAAGTGATCGAGCCCAGCTTGGCCGAAATCGTTTTCATAAAGAACCCGTGATGCACCAAACTCAACGTGCCAAGCAGAAGGTATAAGTATGAAATCGATGCGTGAGACAGATGATCCGCCTGGGGCAGTCCAAGTATGACTATGCCCGCTATGGCACTCGATGAATGTCGACGGCAGCCAAAGGTCGAGGTGGTCAATGAGCCGAAAGAACTGCCCCGGAGGAGCATGTTCAACTTCCCAGACCAGACTGCCTATGCGTGGTGGAGCTGCCTCGCACAATCTGGCATTAAGATCGCCTAGGAGAATGACCTTGTCTCCCTTGGCAGTAGAAGTGACGAGGTCAGCAAAAGCTTTCCACCATGACGCCCGCTCCTGATGCTGTGCTGTAGGGGCATGGCAAGTAACGAAAAGAAGTCGCAGGGTGCCACGTGCAAAACGAACAATGAGGATGCGCGGGCTCCAATGGAGGACCCTGAAGTCGCCAACTTCAAATTTTACGGGAGTACTATCCTGCCAACCGAAAGGGTGGGTCTTAGAGAACCACAGCTCGACTCCTAAGCAGCCCTTAGAATCCCGCGAGGAGAGAAAACGAATGTGGCTGCCGGATACTATGGTGGCAGTAGCCTTGGCCCTCGTCTCCTGTAAGCCAGCAACAGTACAACCAAGACTGTCAAGCTGTTCTCGGATGAAAGGAACGCGGTTAGGTAAGGCTGAAGCCTCATCCTCACACAGCGATTGAACATTGACGGAAACAAGCGAAAGGCAAAGGGAAAGAGTCACATGGCTCTGGGCATGGCCGGTGCTGGAGCCAACCTGACAGCCAAAATAGTCAGAGGGAAGGAGAGCATCCTTATCAGCAGGGCATTGGCCACAAGGATCGGTAAAAGCGCGACCACATAGCGTCGGCCACCATGCTCGGCGCGCAAAGTGCAGAGATGGAAAGCCAGAGCCATGGGAGGTGTCCCTGCTCAGCCCACTCGCACAGCGGAGAAAGATGCGTGGCGATAGCCGTGTCGGCAAGGCGCTGTGCCCCAGCCAAGACATCGACAAGCTCGTTATATGGATGCCCCTGATGTCCTTTAACATGGCAGATGGCATCGACAACAAGGCCTCCAACAGCTTCAAGGGCTTGTGCAAGAGAGCGACAAGCAACGGCAAGCGCGGTGTGATCTTGCGAACTCCAGTCTCCGCTGGTCTGCCGTGCCGCGACCAGACAATCGCTGTGCAATGAACGCGAAATGGATCTGTCAACTCCAAGAAGCCAACCTACAGCCCAGAAGAGGGCACTGCGTTCTCCGTTGAGGGCAGAATGTTCAGTGGCACCGATGTACCAAGGCTGTCCTTGCAGTTGAACAGAGCCACGCGCCCAAGCAAGCACACAACGTCCCGCACGGGACTGGGCGATAGCAGCAAAGGCCCAAGAACTGATACGACCGTCAAAAGAACCGTCAGTGAAGACTTCAATAGATTCAACACCGGCTGCAAGACCTGTGGCGTATGAAACATGTTCCCGCAGAGCTACTCTTGTAGCAGGATGCCAAGCTACAGCTGAGGGCAGCTCATAGGGCGGCTGCCAGGAACCTCCTAACAATTCAGCAACCTGGCTGCTGGAAAAGGGGGCCTCAAGCGAAACCTGGGAAACGTCATGTGACACGTGAGTGGGCAGGGAGGCAGCAAGGCTGAGCACACTCCGGCCATCTCCCCCGCTGTCGCCAGCAGTGGGCAAACCAACCTCAAAATGTTCGAACAGGGTTTCAAGACAGGTCGCAGCTAGGAACATGGCCTGGGAGTCGTGCCTTGCAATGCTCTGCTCAAGCAGGGTGACGAGCTCAAAAGTGAAACAATCGTGACTCTGCCCACCACTTGACAGACGGCCAGCACTACCATTAGCCCTGATGGGCGTGGCGACTGGACGACCAGAGACGGCCGGATAAAAGATTGGCAATTCAAGAGGGCGCTTAGTCTCAAAATGCTGGATCCCAGCGCCTGTGGCGTAAGAGGTGGCATCAACGATTGTCCACTGCTCAGAGCAAAGAACAATCAGCAGTGGGAGACCCCTGCGACCTAGAATTAGTCCAAGGAGAAGGCTCCCAGCACATCCGGCAGAGACAGCAAGGTGGACGACAAACAAGATGCTAATGGCTCGCAGGGCAAGACCACTTCTATAATCTGTAGGCCGGTGAGCATGGTGACCACCACGGCCCTTGAAAGGCGTGCAGCTAGTGAGTCCATGTACATTAGGGTAACCTGAACCACTAGCACCACCAGAAGCAGCACTTTCTCTGGGTGCTGCCGGTACCAGCATCAGCTCGAGAGGAAGAAGAGCTGGCAGCATCAGTTGCAGCTGGAGAATGAAAGCTGGGCGCAGCGCTGGGGTGAAAGACAAATGAATCTGGTGCGAGAGAGCTAGCAATCTCTCTCACAAAGTCAGGCTGGAACTCGGCTGTGACAGTGTCCCCAGGCCTAACCCTACGACAGTGATTCCCCTGATCTCTGTGGAAGGACCCACCAAAGACTCTTACGTGAAATCCCTGGGGACATCTGAGGGCCAACCTTCGGCAGAGGTTAACTACGTTAACCCAACCATCATCAGCAAACTGGAAACCAACCTGAAGAAGAATTGGTCGCAAGTCCAGGACATAGGGAATGCGGCGACTATTCCGCCCTACAGCAAAGTCACTAGTCCGGCAGGCAACCTGAACACTATCAGACAAGACCCCTTTGATGGCATGGTCGTTAAGCCCAGGTGATGCAGGTACGAGAGTGAACTGCCCAGGCTGTAGTCCGATAGCATCAGCAGATTGCTGGCTATTGGAAGCGAAACTGTCTGTATCGACAGCGACAGCGAGACGCTAGCACCAGCCCCAACTGTGTTGTTGCCAGTGGCGCGCTCGCCCCGCTGCTCGGGCGGGGAGGCGCGGTTGCCAGTGGTCGCCCCCCCATGGCTCCCTCTAGGAGACCGGCTGCGGTTGTCACTATCAGAAGAACTCTCGAGAGGGTCGGTGGGGAGGACAAACTGAACAACGATGTGTCCCCCATCCTCGATTCGAAGACAAGTGCCGTCAGGTGTGTCAACAGTAAGAGCCCCCTGGACAGAAACATGGTAACCGTCAGGGCATGTGTTGGCAAACTCATCAACAAACTGCTGTAAATTGAGCAGGTCATCTGTAAGGCAATCTCCAGGTGATGCCTCGGAGAATCGGCCTTTGGTCTATGACGAGGACCTTGGGGAGATGAATGCCTCTACGCCGCCTTGGGAGGCCAGCAGAAGCGACAAAGACAGTCTCGGTGGCGCACCCACAATGGAAGAAATCACGAATAAGAGGCAAGACAGGTACGATGGCAAATGCATTGGGATCCCTATCTAAGGCAGCAGCAACAGCGACCCTTGTCAAGCAGCTATCGTTGTCGACTTCAACTCTAACCGACCTGTCATCAGAAAGAATCCAATAAGAGGTTGTGACGCTGAAGGGAAGCTCAATGCTAGGGTCCCATCCCTGTGTATGTCGCAGCGTACGGCGGAAGTCAAATTGCGCAGGAAGAGGCAGACCGACTGGGGAAATGACGATCAGAGCCCCTTCGTATAGAGCAGCAAGCTGGCCATCGTGAAGCGGCTCAATTTGCCCGGGGATCCACACGTCAGCCTCAAAAGATGCTTCAAAGCCAGCACTGCACAGGATATCGGCCCTGCTGGGCTCGAAAGGGACAATACCGACGTAAACAAGGCCACCTGTCGCCCTGCAGTCAAACAAGACTGGCAATCCCGGTAGTGGCCAGGGAGGCACGGCAACAAGAACAGCGAACTGTTGTGCAGGTTGCGGTGCCACAACAATGAGCCTGGAGTATAGTCGCCTCTGCCTGGGAATCCTAGCAGACTGGATCTGGGGTAGAACCTGAGACGGCAAGGCAGGCGCGCGAACTGGAATCGCAATAACATCAGGGCGAGTCTCAAAAGCAAGGACAGCGAAAATACCGTGAAGAAAGGCAGCCGGGTGGGCAGCAGGGGGAGGTACGGGTTCAGGAGCCTGAACAACGTAATCAGGTTCCCGCCCTGCAACCTGATCATCGAAGGGGAGATGCCTGAGTCTGTTGACTGGATGATCGCCCCTGGCTATACTGTCAAAGGAATGTCTTAGGCTGGGAAAGTCAGGATGCCTAAGCTGACAGTGCGGGTAGCAGCCAGGACCGCCACCGTGCTGTGGATAGATCTGCTAACCAAGGACAGAGCTGCCATTACGGACTGAGGGGAGGACAGGGGTGAGGTACCATGTGCTATCAGCTATAGCGCTCTGTGGGAAAATGGTACTCCACATGACTTCTACGACCCTCAGATCACAAGGGAGGACAGCCCCATCGCGACCTTCAGAGAGGACAGTAGCACCAGGTCTCTGTGCCTCCAGGCGGCCGTTTGCACCTGAAAGGCGGCTAAAGGACAGAGGGAGTTCGCCCCCATCCCCTGCCTTGCCGAGAACGATGGCCTCAGTGCCACCAAGCACTAGACTGCTGGTCAGCACTAGTGGCCGAAGGGGCGAAGCGCAGAGCCTTGAAAAGGGGTGAGCGCCTGCTATTGAAGTGGGCTTTGCAGGACTAGTATGTGCCGCAACCTGAAAGGAGCTGTATTGAGGATCGCAGGGTCCAAGCATGGCGGCAGCCTGAGTCGTGCCAGGAATGCAGGCTGGGGGCATGACATCCCCCTCTCCCTTGTCACCTGAAACCTGTGGGCCCTTAGGAGCTGCTGAGGCAGCCGATGGCTGATCATCAAAGGTTCTTTCATATGTAGCAACAAAGACCTGACCAGCGACAGCGGGAACAGGTTGGTTGATGCCTGCATGTGGGAGAATTGTCAATCTCCAATGCGGCGGAGGGAAATCTCCGATTTGCTCTGCGACCTGCTGAAGGTCTACCCATCCATCATGGACGAGCAGGTGCCAACCCTGCAAAATAGGCCTGCAGTCTACAATTGCTAAGTCTTGCCCCTCAAGCCTCCGGCCAATAGCAAGCACAGTTCTACAGCTATACCCGTAGACAGAACAGTCAAGAACCTGGGGGACAGCAGGACTGATCCTGACCTGTCCTGCCTCAAGGGAAACTGCGTGAGCAATTTCGGCACGGTAGCTCCACGGGTTGGCAGGGTCAGCGGTATGCAGATGGAAGCCCCTAGAGGAGACACAACAATAACAAACCTGTGGGTCAGGCATAGGATAAGCAGGCCCGTCCTGCCACAGGCCTGGATGTCGTAGTAGCTCATCAAGGGTGTCAGGGTAGGGTATGATGGCACCAGTTGCGGCAATGAAAAGACATTGCCCCGGAAATACCCTAATCTCCTGGCCTTGGAGCAAAGGCCCATCAGAGAGGGGGTCAAGGACATCAACCCGGTTGGCAGCAGGGATGCCAGCAAGTCGGAGGACGATGCTTCTGTCAACATACAGCGGTGATTGCACCGCTAACAGCCTACCATCGTACTCTCTCGCATCGAGTACTATAATCATGGCCTGCGGGTCCCACTCCGGTAAAGCAAGCAAGAGGCCCCATCCACGCGTGGGCTGTGGAAGGACGGGCGTCAGGATAGGAAAATGTCTGGCGCGGAAGGCTTCACGGCATTGCTGAATTTCAGCAAGAGCGTGGTTGGAATCTGCAGGCAGGACTAACTCAACGGTGTGGCGCTCAGGAATGAAGTCAGGAGTGATAATGGCAAAGGAAAGCTGGACAAGCTCACCAAAGAGCTCCTGTTGAATATGTGGTTCTGGGCCGTGATTTTCAAGCCGAGCAAAGACCTCCCAAGCCGGGGCATAATGCCAAGGCAACCCGAATTCATCAGCATAGTACCTGAGGAAGTCAAGACGATCGAGTTCCTGTGCAGACAAAGCAGTGGGCTCCTCAAGCAGTTTGCACTCTCGATGCAAGGCTGACGCACGAGGTAGGCCGCTCAATACATGCAAGAAGGCCCGATCGCAATTGCGAAAGCCCCAGCTACAGTCGAGGATCTCTTGGACACTGATTCCAAAATCAAGCTCTGACTGCCGAGGGCTGGGCCAGAGACTGAGAACTTGATCAAGCTCTAAAGGAAAATGTCTAGAGGGGAGCCCGAAAAGACTAAAGCGGCCAAGAGCATCCTTGCTAATCTTAAGGGCAGGGGCGTAAGCAACGATACCTGAGGCAGAGGTGGCAGCCGCATCACGGTTGTTCTCATCCCCTCGCCTGGGAGATCGACTACGAGAGTCGGGTGCTGGGTCATGGCGCTCTTGGGCGGGCTCAGCACCGAGTACAGGAGGAGTATGTTCACCAGCATCAGGATCACCACTCGACTCAGATTCGGAGCTCTCGTCAGGGACAAGGCCCCCTGAGGCATTGCCTTCACTGCCAAGAAGGTCTTCTACGAAGCTTAGTACGAGAACCTGACCATGCGGTACATGTAGGAGGGTGCGGGCCCCTCTGAGCTCAGGCTGGCCCCCTTTTATATTGATTGCATACCCTTCGGGGGCGAGTACCTGGTACTCATGCGTAACGGCATCGAAATCAAGGACTCCTTGGGTTGCGAGCCTCCAGGTAAAGTCCCGGAGGAGCAAACGCTCATCAAAGATAACGATGTGCTGTCTCGGGAGAGGTCGCCCAGGTGGTATGGGGATTCTAGAAATGGACTCCGTGGCGACAAGTACAGCTCTGCAGCGGTGCCCAATGTAGGCAGCATCCCGAACACGGGGAACAGTAGGGCAAACCGTGGTGTGCTCTAGGACGTACTGAAAGACCGCCGCAGTAGCTTCCTTGAAAACCCAAGAAGAGTCATCGGTGGTGACTTGGATGGGGACGACCTTTTGCCCCGCATCTGAAAGAACCCAAAATGCTGAGTCAAGCTCTCCAAAGTAAGTAGGACAAGGGATGGTCCATCTGCGCCCGGGAGTGAGTAGATCCTCAATCGTAACAGAACGGGGAACTTGGCTACCAGCAGGCAAGACCCGAACAAGAACTCCATTGTAGATACGGTAGAGGTGCTCGGGGAGCATGTCTTGTCCTGAGAGCAAAACGAGCATTCCAGGCTGTTCACCTATCCCAGTTTGGAGCAGGAGTGAAGCACGTTTGCAGAATGGTGGTAAGACAGTGGCGAAGATCCGCCCGTCAATGCACCGAGCATCAATAAGGACAATGCTTCCTTCTTCAAACCACGCAGGAAAGGCAAGGATGGAGACGAAGCCGGCATCTGGCTGGGGGTTGACAGCGATGAGGCTATCGAAAAAGACAGATGCATCACTGTCTCTGCTGTCTGAGACGGCACCATAGACCTCACCAAGTGCGCATGGCAATCTTAGAGTGATTTGAACAGTCTCGTGATCAAACCTGGGCGAGAAAATGAGGAAGCCAACCTGCACATTCTCCTCATCAGGGACTTGAATCGCGTCATCCGCAGCAAGACCTAGAGCTGCTTCAGCTGTGGGTCCCTCGTGTGTCTCCCTACCAAAACGTGTTGGCTCACGAAAACGGAGGGCCTCATGATCGCCTTGGGAGTACACAGATCCCTGAGAGCGAGAGGCATTGCCTAGCTGCGCCGAAGAAGCAGCTTTGATGCCGGCATTGAAAGCACTGTTCCTGGAATGGAGGAAAAGCTCAACTGTGCATTCGTGCGTAACATGCACTTTGCCCTTGACGAAGGGCACGCCAAAGGGGACTGGGGCAAATCCGGTGGGAACCCCAATGGTGAGGAACCGAACAATGCTATCGAAGTCGACCCAGCCAGGACTACAAACTATGAAAGTAGGGTCAAGGCCGGCACTCCTTGGATCAAGGAAGACGATAGCACCGTATTTGGTAACTTCACATCCTGAGGAGGGCCTTGGCTCAGCAGCAGCGACTCCATGTACCCGGTGGCCTCTTCGGAGAGTGGCAAGTAGGGAACTATTGTGTTTGGCAAAGCCAAAAGAGAGCTCCCCGGGCTCGTTGTGGGTGGACTCAGCAAGGGTCCTCAGGAGCTGATCAATTTCTCCAGAGTGACAGCGCGGGGTACGTGTGACATGGCTGCGGAGGAAAAGCCAGGTGCCCCCACTGTCGAACTCAAAGCGGGGTAGATTATCGTCCGGAGACCAGTAACCATAGTGGGCAAGCTTATTCCGTAGAGACGGTGAATCGCCAACGGAAGTGCCGGAAGGAACAAACCTAAAGACATCCCCATTACTAACCTCAACAACGGCTTCATCGCACATTGGGGTGCTGCTTCCTGGTGCAAAAACATGCCATTCCCCTGTGATATGGAAGCGTGCAGCATTGTCGAGGGAGACCCGCGAAAGAGAACGCCAATCACAAGTTGCGTACACGGGACCCGAGCACTTTGAGAAGTCAAGAATGTAAACGGCCTTCTCGGCATGTGCAACCCAATCTGGCACCACAACAAAGGTGGCGAAAGGATTAAGAGGCTGCGGGTTGAGTGCGACGACCTGTGACGAGCCCTCATCACCAGCCTGCCTGACATATCTGCCTGCAACTGCAGCATGGAACGTCGAAGCGGCAGTGGATAGTTCGTGATGGAGGACGAAGAGACAGGTGGGATAGTCTGCTTTCATGACAGCGCATTGTAGCGCAAAGACTTCTGGCTCAAGTCGCAGAGCCTCTCGGACGATGTCTCTGAACCCTTGGTTGGCCTCAGCACAAGCAACACATTCAGGGGTGTCGGGGAGGTCAGCAGCCTCTGGTGCTTCAGGAAGGAAATCAGCAGCGAGACCAGTTACGTAAGGGCCAACTATGTCAGGGTCACGAACAGCCCCAACGCACACAGGGAGGCTAAGAAATCCAGAAAGCCAGCACAAACCCCAATGCCAAATAGAGAACCTAGTTTGGGGTAGGATTCTGCGCCGAACCCCTCGAGGACGCCAGTCGAGGACTGGGTCAGTGACAGATCCCGCAAGGGCAAAAGGAATCACAAGCGCTTTGTGCCGGACTGGAAAACAGGCAAGAAGAAGTCTCCCCAAAGGAGACCTTTGAATAGGCTTGTGTCCGAACAGGAGGGTCAACAAAGCACTGAAAACGGACCCCCCAAGCAGGATAAGAACAGAAGTAGCCTGGTGCGTAAGCCACGAAATCCAGGAGGAAAGGGGTTCAATCTGCTCGATCTCTATCAAACCTGTGGACGTCCCTGAGCCACCGATACGTCTCTTAGGCACTAGGTTGATGAGAGAGCTTTGAAAAATGCAAGCGATCCCGAGGGGACCGGTGGCAACCGACATATGAAGGGACAGTCGGGAAGAGAAAAGGGAGCCCATAGGGGCGGGATGGTACGTCCCAGAAAAGCACGCATCCAAGGTAAAATGATACGCGATGAAGAAGTGCAGGTCACAGCCTTGGAAAGTCGAAATAGGCCGTGACAGGCAAAGGCGGGGGCACACCCCAGGGCAAGCAATAGACCAATGCTGCCAAAGAGTGGCCGAGGAGACCTCGAGGAGAGAGCTGACCCTGGCAGGGGAAGAAGCTGTACAGATTGGGCGAACAACTTTCCCTACCGGATAAGGAGCTTTGCGTCCTTCAAAATTGGATGTACAACAGGCAGACCCCAGCTGCGCAACGCTGTACAAAGAAGTAGAGGCATCACACGTCTCAGAACCTGTACGGACCGCGCAGTGCACACTCGGGCGGCTGCCAGAAGAGAGATCTTGCACGCAGGGCAACTCAACCGCACACAACGTCACCCATGACAGAGTGTAGCAGTTAGGGCTCTGAATGCGATCGTGCACCTCTGTGCCGTCGAGTGTAGCATGCATGGTACTCACAAGTGGACCAGAAGCTAGCCCATTCCATCCAGGCTGGGTGCTCGAACAGCTGCAGGGTGCAGACCTGTGTCCGGCGGCATCTCTGCGTCGACGTCGACCGAGAGCTCTGGTCTGGAGGTGTCTTCGCCTGTGCTGTGAACGGGGTTGTCCCTGCCCGCGATCGGGTCCACTCTGAACGGCTGCATCGCCTGGCCACGTTTCATGTCCAGTTTCGCCTGCAGCGTAGGGCCAGAGGGCGCACCCATTTCCGGCTTGGTGCGAGCTTTGACCGGCAGGCGCCTGCCCAGACTCGGAGACGAGAGGTGTCCTCTCGAATTGGGCGAGGGCACATAGGGCCCTTTGCTGAGAGTGGGGATTGCGTACCCACCAGTCGCATCGGATGCCGAGCAGGTTGCCGTTTCCAGAGAGGGAGGCTTGTCCCCGATTTTCTCTTCGGTCGACGTAGTGGGAGGCCTCCCCAAGCTGCCACCAGGCTTCACACCAGGGAAGATCCCGGACAGCCCACTCAGAGGGTCCCGGTCTCCTTTGCCAGCCGCGGGGGCAGGCTCCGGGGCCACCACTTCCCTCTCGAAACGGATGTCCCTGCCTCTGGCAAACTGGAGTGCTTCTGCAAGGAAACCATGCTGCTCGGGCACCTCGTCGTCCTCGTCCATGAAGGCATTCCACGCCTCTTCGACGTCCTGTGCTGGCTCTGGTCTGGGCGCTCCCTCGATGCCGCGAACAATGACGTCTCTCACCCTTGCAGCTGCCTCCTGACCGGTCTGCGTCACCGTGATCGTCTCCTCTTCCAGCCTGGCCAGATCCTGCTCGTAGGCCGCCTGTTGTCGGAAGAGCTTCTCCTTGAGGTTCTGCTTGTAGATGGTCCATTGCTTCGCCCTCTGCGCCTTCTCCTCTTGGATTTTGCGGAGCCGTGCATCCGCCCTCCTGGCCTGTGTAAGGGCTTTCTGAACTTCTTGTAGTACTCCAGCATCTCCGGAAGCCCCTTTCTGAAGTCCCTTGCGTCCGCCTCCTCGTTGCTCCTCCGCAAGGTCGATCTTGTCGTAGCGATCCTGTTCTCCACGTCTGGGTGACCAGGCCCCAGGCCACCAGTCCCAGTACGAGGACCCTGAGCCACCCTGATCTGTGCGTCCTCTTCCTGTGGGGCGCTGCTGTGACCACGTCCATGACTGCTGTTTGCCACGGCCACCTCTGCCCATCCCTCGGGGAGCAGCGTGGTGTTGTCGTAGTAGCTGCACGTGCAGACGGAGGGACACCTCTAAGCGAGGCGGAGCGAACCCGATTCCGGGTTTTGGACCTCCTGGTCCGAAGCCTCCTGTGCCACCGCGGGGACGCCGGGTGGATTCCTATGGCTCGTGACGTGTCAACGACACTGGGGCGTGTCAGCTATCGTCCGCTGTCGGACGTCTTCTGAGCCCTATATATATATATATATACATACATACATACAGGGTTTAGGGTTCTTTTGCAGGGGTCGATAGGTTCCAAAAGGGATCTATGGGGGTTTAGGTTTTGGGGTGTTCTTCCTCTTTCGGGGATTTCGGTTTCGTTTCGGATAGTTCAGGTCTTGGACGGATTTGGCTTTAGGGCGCAGGAGTTTGGAGCGTTCTTATAGAGCTTAGGTGCACCCTGAACCCTAAACCCCAAACCCGGAGCCCCCCCCCCCAAAAAAAAAACAAACCCGGAACCCTAAACCCTGACCCCCTAAACCCTGAGACCTAAACCACTTTACCCTGAGCCCTAAACCCTAGACCCGGAACCCTAAAACCTAAACCGCTTAGCTTTGGAGTTCATGGACCCTAAACCCTAAACCCTAAACCCTAAACCCTAAACCCTAAACCCTAAACCCTAATATTATAATATGGGTAGTTCTCTAAATTAGGGTTTCTTCCTAGGCCCCCAACATGGTGCGGCACCCTTAAAGATCCCAACTTTGAGAATTACCCATCTAAGGTCTAGGGGCTTAAATCACCAATACTAATTTAGGAGTCCCCTTTTATAAGTCGTATGTAATATATCCTAAACTCTAAACCTTAAGCCCTTATAATACACCGGAAAGGCTATGAATGCTGTGGCTTCGTCGGACTCTAAGGTTGAAAGGTTGGGCTGGGGGTTTTTAGGAGGAGGTGTTCGGCTGGGGTGCAGAATCCTAGACGTTTCGGGTTCCAGGATCCTCGGGTTAAGGTTTAGGGTTTAGGGTTTAGGGTTTAGGGTGGGTGTTTTGTTGGTGGTCATTTCAAGGCGTGATAGCAAGTAGCAGTCGGAATTAAGAAATCGACTGCTAGCACCATTCAGAGCTCTTGCATGAAGAAGGTGTCTTAAACCCTAAAGCCAAATCCCTAATCCCTAGTCCCTAAACCCTAAACCCTTATTGATTTGTGAAGCAGCATGGGCCCTACACCCCGAAGCCCAAATCTCGCATGCAAAGGCAACCTTGCTAGACCCGGAGCCTTGAATCGTTCAGGGAGCTCTACAGAACCTTATACTACATGTCCCCGTATCGAGCCCCTTGTAGCCCTTCTGGTATATGAAGGCCCCATGAAAACCCACCCTGAAACTTACCGAGCTCACAAAACCCTTTACCACCCTTTCAGCACCCGCGAGAACATTTAATACCCCATAAACCTCTTATGGTGCCCGTAGAAAAACAATATCAAACCTCATAAAGCCAGAGTAGCCTTACATCTTACTACCGTATATTCCCTTCCTAAGAACACTATAGTGCCCATGGCGCCTTTCATATTTCCCTAAGTTTACTGTACCTTCCTAAAACACCTCCGATCATGGTACCTTCTTAAAGCGCTATAGTACTCGGAGAAAGCTTTTAACACCCCGTGAGAAGCCCATGGCAGGTTCAGCTCCAGCATGGGGAGCTCTTGGAGCAACTGACGGACTGCAAGCAGATGCTGGAGACGAAGACGAAGGAAGGGCCCGCCTCTTCGAAGAGGGTATGGGGGGTTCCTCTTTAAAGGGTTTTATACGGGCTCCATAGAGGTTTTTTAGGGGTTCTGTATTCCCCAAAATTAGCAACGTAGAGGAATCCTGATCCAGAGGATTCCGGAACATATTTTTACTCGCATACGACTAACACTCTTCCTTGTAGCATTGCTGGATATTGTTGCAGTTACACGATGCCACAAGGTCCTGCTCTAGTTGTTAAGGCCCCTATTCTTCCCATAGCCCTTCAGAGTTCAGAGTAGTTCGAGTGCAGTCTAGAGTTTCTGGGGTGTTGGATTGGGGTTTTGAATGGGGTTTTAGGGTTTTCTGGGGTTTTGTGTAGGGGTTGGGGAGGAGGGGGAATGCCACGTAGTTTGCGATGCGCATATTTCTCAGCACTGTAGTTACCGGCAGAGGATAGATGAGCCTCATTCGTTTGTGATACCTTAAACTCCGAACCTAAACCTTACGTAACCCTAAACCCTAAACCCTAAACCGTGGCTCGAACCCCTACTCTTTGAGCCCCAGACTCAAGAGCTCGAAGCCCCTAACCTCAAAACTCTAAATCCTGCAGCCCTGAGCAGTCTTTGTTTCCAGATACCCACAGCTACTCTGGACTGACAGGGTACAGTTCAGTCGAAATCCAACCTTTCTGCACAGTCCCAAGTACAATCATTCCTTATTATTATGGTTTCGAGTTCCTTGCTTTTGTGGGCAGGAGGATTCCGCATCCTTGGCGAAGTGGCGCCTGCAGACACTCGGGTTGCCTGTAAGGGTTCCTTGATGGGTCGAAAAGGGGTACTTTTAAGGGATACAATAAGGGTCCTACTTGAAGGATCATGGGACTTAGGAAGTAGGGGTATAACTAAGGTAATTATATACTTATAACCCCAATTAGGGGACCTATAACCTTACTAAGTCCCATGATCCTCCAAGTAGAAGGGTTCTATGGGGGCTTTGGGGTTTCGGACTCAGGATTTAGGATTGTGCCCTAAACCTAAAACCGTGGCAGGCTGAAGGCTTATGGGTTTAGGGTTTAGGGTTTAGGGTTGGGGGGTTTAGTGGTTAGGGTTTGGGGTATCGGTATAAGCTCCAGCCTTCATGAGGTGCCGGGAGTGCTGGAAATATCGAGCTCGAGGGATGGACGTACTTTGCTGTTGGGGTTTGGGGTTTAGGGTTTATGGTACCTCTAAAATCCTAAACCCTAAACTCCCTAAGCCGTAAGCCCTAAGCCTTAAACCCGAAACCGTAAACCCCGAGTCTCGGAGAGCTACAGAGTACCGATGAACCTTCAAGCAAGGGTTTACGGTTTAGTGTTCAGGGTTTAGGGAGTCGGTTTAGGGTTTAGGGTTTAGGGTTTAGGGTTCAGGGTTTAGGGAGTCGGACGACTACCGAAGCAAGAGGAAAGGCTAAATACGCGGGCTTGAGCAAGCACCGGGACTAGCTACGCAGGCTTCTATTTCAGGAAATGATATTCTTTTCTCCAAGTTTGACAACGACAAAGGATTGGCTGTTAAAGCCCGAAGCCCTGAACGCCCAATGAAAGCAAGGTACATGAGCAAGCTGGACGCAAAAATCCAAGCGCGTCGCGAGTGGAAGAAGCGACACGCCGCTGCAAGAGCGCCACCGAAGATGATTCTGGAGCCAGTGACGCTGGAACCAGTGACACAGAAGGTTGAGCCATGACATAGTCCTGACAACCATGAGTTCAGGGAAGTGGGATTGTCAGATGTCTATGGCAGCTTGCACACAAACAGGGACACTTTTCGGATACACGTCTGTTTATGAATTTGGGTTGAGGACTATAGGGTTCGGAGATTAGGCCTTTAGGTGATCAGGGTTCGGAGTTCTCACGCCTGGTCTGCAGAGAGGCATGATGTCCTCAGTTGTTTTTTTAGCTAGCCGCAGTCCGCAGACAAGGCGAAATAATTGGTGCATGCACCGTGCAGTGCAGTGCATGAGAATGGGTTGTCCGCTCCATTGAGCAAAGACCTTCTTTTTGTGGGTTTAGGGTATATGGCAGACTTTGCCACATGTTCCTGTTTGACGACGCTTTCCTAGCTTTCCTGCTTTACAGTGAAAGGGTAAGCAACCTCTGAAACTAAGTGCAAGTCCCTTAACCACGAAGCCCAAAGCACAAATCTTGAACACACACCATCATCTAAGCTCAAATGGGGAGGTATACTGCCAAATGGGGAGGTATACTGCCCTAACCCCCCAGGTACCTACTATATATGGCCCTATAGGGGCTCTATTACCCTACATAGTGCGTACCTGGGGGGTTAGGGCTGCATGGCATGGTTTGGTTCGGTATCCATGCTTTGGCCTTGATACATGCATACTCACATGGGTAGTTGTCTAAATTAGGGCCTTCATTATAAGGGTGCCGTGTTATATTGGGGACCTAAACAGGGACCCTAATTTAGTGAACACCGCACATCCAGTTTGTGCTATAAATGCATGTAGGCGCGGGCGTACACATGCCTAAGGAATTTCTGTAGGGTTTTTTAGGGTAAATGTAAGCAAACGATGCAAGCTGCATTTGCATGCATGATGCACATGCCTAGATATGTTCTCTACATGTACATGTGCCCAGTTATGGACCGGCTGTGCTGTATGCATGTTTTCATGCATGCATGTTGTTCTGCATCAGCTTGCATTCGTTGTCTGTAGGGTCGTCGGCTAGACTGCAGGAGACCAGGCTGCTAGCAAATATAGGGTTATGTCTGAATGGATATATATATATATATGTATATGTATGTATGCATGTATGTATGTATGTATGTATGTATGTATGTATATATGTATGTATGTATGTATGCATGTATGCATGTCTGCATGTATGTATGCATGTATGTATGTGTGCATGTTTTGCTTATGTGCTTGTTCGGTCATGTATAGACAGGAGATTAATAGTAAAACATAACGTTGTAGTATCACAGAATAGAGCTTTTTATGGTATGATATAAGTTAGCACACCACAGCTTCACATAGTAAGTATATAAATATATATTATTATTATTGTTGTTATTATACCAAACATTCAAATATATACACATATATATATATATACACGCACATACACGCATCTAAGACATGTATGGATATACAGACATGAATGTGCAAACTGTGTGTGTGTGTGTGCCTGTGTAAAAAAGCTGTGTATGTATGCGTGTATATATATATAGATACACACGCACGTTTGTTTATTTGTTTATATCTAGTGTATAGACATGCGAGTGCAGATATGCTCTTACATGTGTATATATATATATATATATAGTACACACATGCACCCATCCTGGCATGCATTTGCAGGGGATGCAATGTACTTCAATACCTCAGAGAGCACTAAGCCGACCTGGTCCATGATCCTGCATGTTTCGGGGTTAACTTGGAAGATCATGGGACTTAGTAAGTAAGGTTATAGGTCCCTCAATTGGGGTTATAAGTATAGTTACCCTAATTATAACCCTACTTACTAAGTCCCATGATCCTTTAAGAAGGGTTCAGGGTGTAGGGGTTTAGGGTTTGAATGGGTCCAGAGCTGTGACACAGCACACCGCAAATTCGTGATTGGCTTCTTCTGATCCGTGGAGCGGCAGCCCAGATAATGCGCGCTTCGCATCCTGCGAATCCCGAGCTACTGACTGTCAAGCTCGGCAGGAAGAAAGTCTGTCCGCTATCAGGCACATTAGTCGGGGGAGGAAAGCTCGCACTTCTTGTAAAACAATGCTCATGATGACAGAATATATTTGGTAAGGGGGCTTGGATAAATCATGCTGGTCGAACCGCATAGATGCGGATTCATTGCAATAATCGCAGGTGGTCGGTATCTTAAACTCAGGGCCATGAAACTGCTCTTGCGGCCTACCATGAGGGCTAGCGGCTAGCAGTCTTGTCAGGACCGAAGAGCATACCTATCTTACAAGCAATTCCCTGACCCAAAACCGTAATGAATACAGCCTAAGCCGCAAACCTTACAAGCCCCGCGCGCTAAGCCCTAAACCCTGCAAGACCCAAACTCCGCCACAGGTCCGTTGTAGAGTGTAGGTTTCATACACCGATTCTACGCCCCTATAGTATACGAAAGCCCTTTCGGCCTGAACCGAGCCTTGTAAACACTAACCTACCCTCAACCCTGCGCCGAGAGGAGCCCTATAGTAATTGCTGGTTAAAGGAACTCTAGCTCTAACCCACCTGAACTCACCTGGTACGGGCCCCTGTAGGAATCCTTTCTTTCTTAAAAGGAACTCTAACTCTAGCCCCCCTTAACATACCTGGTAAGGGCCCCTGTAGGAATCCTTTCTTTCTTAAAGGAACCCTAAGCCCTGCTTGGAGGGTCTACGGTTATAAGCTACCAGTACCTTATTTGTCAACATAAGCATCTATAGGTACGGTTACCTAACCCTATTTACCCCGGTTCTTTGTTGAGGCTATGTAAACCCCAGGAGATCCCTTACAGAACCCTTTACTTGGAGGTTCAAGGGTAGTTATAAGCGGGTTATAAGTCCCCCAATATGGCTTATAAAATAAAGTTACCCTACTTATAAGCACGTTTATAACTACCCATGAACCTCCAAGTAGGGAACCCTGTAGCCCAAGGAGCCCTAAAATCCGATCCGAGGGTTTGCTGCTCCTGGTGGCCTTGCACTTCGGAGCCACGGGCTTAGTGCCGGCACCTTTGAGGGCCGTTTAAAAACTTCCCTTTCAGGGAACCCTGAAACCTTAAAGGGAACCCTGTCATAGAATCCCAGAGCCCCCTGAAAAGAACCCCTTAAGAGCCTTTGAGGACTCACTTTTTGGGTTTAGGATGGTTTAGGGCTTTGGGGTTCAGACTCTGAGGGACTCAGGGTTTTGGGTTTGGGATGGTTTATAGTAGAAGCCGGAGAGTCTGAACGTAAGTTTTCTCATGGCTTTGAAAATAGCGTAGAAGGACTCCTAGCACTGATTCTTAGACCATGTTCCAACTGACAACTGAGTACTGTAGCTTTCTTGGGCTCACTATAACTATAGGGGTTCAGGATTTGGGTGTGTTGGGGTGTTTTGCTTTTGCTTTGAAGGCTCAACGCCTGAGCTTTGGGGGTGTCCTCCTCTACTGTTGCAGGATGTCGAGTTTCGGATTTCAGGGCGTTTCGGATTTTGGGGCCCCTAAACCCTAAACCCTAAACCCTAGAGAAGAGGTGGGGCTTCTCAGCGGCCTGGGCTTGAAAGACTGGGTTTGTGAGGGAAGGCGGACAGGGGATTCGGGGCACTTTGGGGGGGCTTTAGAGGGCAGCTTCTTCCCCTGTTTCATCTGGCCTAAAGCCCTCCTTAATGTAGGGGCAGAAATAATTCCCAATACTATTTCGGGGTTCCGAATTAAAGTATAGTGTAACATACTAATATACCCCAATAACCCTATTCTGATTATTAAGGCCCCTATATGACTCTGGGAGTTCCGGTCCTTGTTGGATGCCGAAAAGTATAGACACCGTCTTAAGGACCCCAACCTATGGGACTTATGGTATGTTCCTTATTCTGGGTAATGCAGGGTGTATATCATCAACCGCAAGGACGACTTGGAGCTTTCAGGGTTGCAGGGGGTTTGTCGCCATGTCATCAGAGGAAGGCTGCCGAGTCTATGCGGGATAGAGAAAGTACAACTATACGGTTGATGATATAAATCCCATTACCCATACCCTTATAAGGAATATACCATATAATTCCCATACTTTAGGGTCCTTAAGGTAGTGCAGGGTTTATATCATCAACAGTAGCTCTCAAAGTGGGCCCCTTTTCCAGGTTCCTGCTACAATACCGAAACAAGACAGCCCTTTTATTCCGAGGCCACGTACTGGGGATCCAATTAATCAGGTTTAGGGTTTAGGGTTTAGGGTTTAGGGTTTAGGGTTTAGGGTTTAGGGTTTAGGGGAGCCATACCCGAAAGATTTCGAAAACCCGGAAACCCAACACCATAGCTCTGCAGCCAAACCATATTCGGTGAAACCCAAACAGATACAGCCCGAAAGCCGTAATATAGGGACCTACTTAATTACCAATGCTATTGTGGGCTTTCCTTATTAAAATTCTAGTATACTGGGCCCGAAAACCCTATGCTAATTATTGCGGCCCCTAAACCCTGCACCCTTCTATCAGCCCTTATGCTACCCTTGAAGGAACCCTTTAAACTTTAAACCCCAAAATCCTATTCTAGGCCTTAGGCAAACATCCCGCTGAGGTTGCTTGGCTCGGGCCGCGGCTTCCCCTCGCATCGAGGGGTCCGGGCTGTGCGGCGCAGGCTCGCTAGTGCGAACAGAGAATCGATGTATACATTGATAAGGGTCCAGGATTGATTTTTGTAGGGTTTTTGCACAGCCTCCTCAATTAACATGGAGTTTGAGAGCGTATCAATTTGTGACCACCGTCCTTCAACAGGGGTCTGTGTGGAATGCTATGGGCCATGGGCTTGAGTATGCACCTCTACATCAAAGTATGACAGTAGTAGGTTCTGACCGAACCCTGTTCCAAGTAGTTCCCCTAACAGTCCATGTGCCCATAGAGTAGATACTTTGGCCCCAAAGCACTCAAATACGGACTACTTTAAGGCAACAGTATATACTATTTGGGTACATGGACCCTTTGGGTTCCCTACTATTCATGGTTTACATCATCCTTCGCTTCAGCTTCCGCCCGCACCGAAGGAT